TCGATTTACAGAAATTTAAATAGGAACATACATTTTTTTTATTCATAGCATTAGAGGACATCGAGACGAATTCAAAACACATATTACATGATATTTTTATTAACATGTTACTCGATTTACAGAAATGGAAATGTGAAGTAAAAGACCGGAATATTACGCGATGGAAGGCGGCATACATTTTGAACATGTAATTAAATAAAGTGTATTTTTCTTACATTCTAGTCGCGTGTTTGCATTCAGTAATCTCTTCGGAATCAAATAATGGTTACACTACCAAAGTCAAAAGCTAAGTACTTCACATTTCCTCTTCTGTAAATCGAGTAATATGTTAATAAAAATATCATGGTCATTTCCATTTATATCGAATCATTACTGTGTTACTAGTTATAATGTTACAATTGTATTATTATAGGAATGTGATGTTATTAATTATAGTATTATTACTATAGATCATTTTCACTTATGTCGAATCATCACTGTATTATTAGTTATGATGTTACAATTATATTATTATAGGAATGTAATATTATTGATTATAATGTTGTTACTACATATAGGCCATTTTCATTTATATCGAATCATCACTGTATTATTAGTTATAATGTTACATTTATATTATTATAAGAATGTAATGTTATTGTTTATAGTGTTATTACTATATTATTATGGGAATGTGATATTAACTATGATCAAATTTACAGGTCTTCATACAATAATAAATATAATAAAATTACAACATTATATGCTTATTGTTTGATCATCATGAAACAAAATAATTTGCATTAACACAAGTAACTGCGATTCAATATAAGACCATCTCTGAAGTACAAATTAGAAGACGACAAATAAACTAAAAACATGTTACATTACCTCAAAGCATCTAAACTGTACTATAAACTGTACGACAAAGCATCTAAGCTGTAAACATACTCTGAATCACTAATAACCCATGAGAGGTTGATGCAACTATAAATAAATAACTAAAAGAAAATTTGTAGGATATCAATCATGGTATTAGAAACTCAGTTACAACTTCTGATCTAAAAATGAGTATGATTAAATAACTTTGATGTTATAGATTCCCGTATAATGGCGTTATGGCGATTCTTAAAGGATTGCAAGCTACGGAAAGAGTTACACAAGTGCAATAACTTTCTAAGTGCAATGTTTTCACTTTTACGCTGATTTCTCGCCACTTTAGAGAAATATCTGCTCAGTGGTCATGTCATAGAAATTCACTCGTTTCTCATTTACAGAAATCTACGACAATCAAAGTACTGCGTGAAAGTAGAAATCAGTGTTAGAATTAACTGCTATTACTATTTTATACGTGTCTCTCAAGTAGTATTGTAATTGAAGATGAGCTTCTGTAAAATGATTAATTTTTTATTTCCTTCTTTGGTGCAATTTCTTTAAATCGTAGAAACGCGAAGAAAGTTTGTTCATTAAATTTGTGGAATTTTAAGAAATTTACTTTGTACAAATACAGTCAATTACTTATTAACATTTTAGTAAGACTCTATGTATGAACAAAAAAATTTAAATAACCTTTTTTTACATTTCTTGTTATTTTACATTTATTCATATTTATATTCATATACATTTTATACATTATTTCAATTTACTTATTTAAATATATATGTTATAATAGCTTGTCCTTCTTGCAGCCTGCAGTATATTTATCGAACGTCATAAAAATTCGAAAAAAATCGTGATCCATAATAAAATGATCTATCATTATGCAAACCACCTTTAAAATCCGAAGGTCCATCGTCCTTGTACGAATGAAGGAGAACGATTAACCTTCGGCAAATACCATGTATACATTAATTTAAATAATAATTGCCGTCGAAAAAAATAAAACATGTTCGATTAATCTTAAACCTGACATTTCCGTTTTTTAACACTTGACTACATTGCGTGATAAACACGTTTATCATGAAATGTGGTGATATTAATTGGATTAACTCAGACCAAACAGGTTTCCTCAAACGACTAATTCCGCAATAAGTTTCAAATACCTACATAGTACATTTATTTTCATTCACGTGTCACCAGTAGATAACAAAATGACGCCCAATTTTTCAATTTCTTGAGAAACTACTTTGAATCACTAACAATAATAAAACATTTAATGAACTCTCCATTGAATAGTACATTTTGCATTCTTGGTAAGCGAGATAAAATAATTTCAATGTTCCAAAGCAATTATCGCCGAGCTTTAAAGCGGGAGATCCTCCCCAGAAAATATAACCTAACCTAATCATGCCGTGGTCCAATATTTGTAGACGAACTGAAATGTTATCTATTCGTATATGTATAAGTGGCAAATCCACAAATTCATCGTACACAAACAGAAGATAGCTATGTTTGTGACTGTGTCATAGGTCCACACTTAAGTAAAATTCTTTGTATCGGTAAGAAAGTTGTTTGCGAATATTTCGACAGCTTGTTATTTCCAGTAAAAATGAAAATCATGTTCGTATGCAGCACGTGGAACAAGTAGAACAAGGTTGAAGTAAACGTGAGCTACAGTTTGTAAAATAATGTGTTTTATACATATGGGACACCCTGTGGATACTCAGGTCTGGGGCAATACGAACGGTAGTTACTACAAAGGAGATCTTTGTGTTATGTATAGGCAGAATTCTATGAATTATACTTAAAGTTTTTACATCTCTGAAACTACAAGGTTGATACTTAAGGTTGATACAAAGTTGATACCTCTCCCTTTTTCACACATCTTAAGCACATGTCAAAAGTCCACATTCGATATTACAAACTCTAGGATGAACTCATAAAATCAACTCACCAAGTAGTAACTGTCCACACGACGTAAACATGAGGAGGTTCAACTCGTCCTTGGCCTCAGAAGCCCTAATCTTCTCTCGACTTTCATATTGTTGCTGCGTATGAGGCTGATGCTGTTGCTGTCGCTGTTGTTTCTCAGATATCAGGATTTCCTTCGAGTGTTTCGATTCTAAACAACTCTCCGGCTTCGAATCCGACGTCGTCGAATCCTTTGAATTTTTCGAATTATTCGAGTCTTGACTTCTAACCGTCGAGTCCAAGGTGATCGTAGCTGTCTCCATGCTTCTTCTTTGTTTAATCTTTCACGTTTTCATACTTCACTGTGTACACCTGTTCCTTCTGCATCCAACGACGTTTTGTATATCATGAAGCTCCCTTTTTGTTCAGTTAGTCTTCCAAGCCACTTTAGGCGTTATTTGTGATTTCTGCACTTTTTTATACGAAAGATTAATTGCAATATGAGTGGTTTAAGCTTGTAGAAATTTATGGATGATTTTTCTGGAGGATTAAACTTTGTTAGGTAGTTTGAAGCGAGGCTTTTTATGGTGAAGGTCAGTTGACGATGTAATCGCTGATCTTGTTGACGCAGTCTGATGTATCCAACTGATCTGTAAATTGAAGAGGAAATAATTAGAGTTTGTAAAATACTTTTATTTTGTAAAATACGTTTGCTTTGTCTTATTTATTGAAGTCTTTGAACCAATGTATCTTGGATGTTTTTCAGTGTTTAATATATTTTGCTGTACGATAATATCCTACACAGTAAATTAATATTATACATATAGGGTGTCACCTGTAACACTACTCACGATTTTTCTCCCACTTGCAACTACCTTACAAAAAAAAGTTTAGAACGATATTTGCAGGGTGTGAATCTATTGTGCACTTCATACCTTGTAAATATTGTTCTAAACTTTTTTTCGTAGGGTGGCTGCAAGTGGGAGAAAAATCGTGAGTAGCGTTACAGGTAACATTCTGTACTATAAATAATAGATCGAAAAACATTTTCAAATAAAAGTAATTAAAGTTCGTTCGTCATGTACTTGTGCACGAGTTGTTTTTTAAACAAATTGCAAATAGAACCATGGAACAGAAATTCTGTTAAGATTTCAGAGAAAAAGTCGTATTACGGTAAAAAGAATCGTGCTGACATGCGCATCTCGTTCGACGAGCTTACAATCGCACGAAAGTACAGTTGGTTCTTTCAGAATGTCTCTAGAATGTCCGCAAAACAAGGACGAGTTCGTGTTACTTCAAGGTCGCTGCACATCGCGAACCACAACATTTTTTCAGTCCAGTCACCACTGTACTTTACACAGACATTACAGGCATGAACATGGTGATTCGAATTGATAAGTGCACATCACAGCATCTTTTGAAATTAGTATATTATTTACTTATTAGTATGATTATAATAGTATTTTGTTAGAGTGAATAATGCTTGGGTGTTGTTTCTATGATATATTTTTGAAGGAATAGATATTTTTGTATGGACATTTTATTAATTTATTATTTTATTGTTTTACTATTTCATTACTTTACAATTTTATAATTTCATTCTTTTATTTTCGTACTATTTTACTGTTCTATTAATTTACTATTTTCCTATTTTCCTATTTTCCTATTTTACTATTTCACTATTTCGTTATTCGCCTGTTCTACTATTAAGCAATTTTACTATTTCATTCTTTTACTTTTCTATTATATTACTATACTACTATCCTATCATTTTTACTATATTGCCCTTACTATTATAATAATATTCTTTCCTATTATACTATTAATTTTACTATTTAATTATACTACTATACCAAATACTATTTTCCTATCCTATTATTTTATCATTTCACCATTTCATTTATTAAACATTCATTTTTTATTTTTTATCTCACTATATTATTTAAGCAAATACTATATTTCAATCTGCTATAATAAATGCGAATTTATTAATTGAACTACTGATCAAATTTAATTCGCCAATTATTAATTCTACACGTGACAGCAAATGTTGATCGTTGCATATTAAACAACCGATTTCGAAATATCCGAAGGAAGTCAGATATATTTTTATAACGTGAAAGTGTAACAGAATGGCAGTTGTGGCATATCAATTTACAGTTCAATGCATGTTGAAAATTATTATATAAACGTGTCTTCAATATTCTTAATACAAAATGGACGATCATCAGTTGTAGCAATACTTCGCATTATTTCGCTGATTTCGAAACTATGAAAGCTCTGACACAATTTGATGACATAAAAGTTTTATAAAATAACGCTTATGATATATCAATTTTAAGCTTCAAATGTAACACACACAACTATGTAAACGTTTCATAAATATCTTTAACACGAAACAGAAAATTATTAATTATAACAAGAAATTACTGTTGCATATCATTTATATTATTTTGAAACATTAAAAGTTCTGTGAAAAGTTTCATGACATAAAAGTAGCGCAAAATAGCACTTATGCTATATCAGTTTAAAGCTTAAAGTCTGACAAAAATAGCTATACAAAGAATCCATCAATATTCGTAATATAAAATAGATTATTGCTAATTGTAGCAAACAAGTATTACTCCACATTATCTCAACGATATCAAAACATAAAAGTTTTGATACAACAATTCATGACTGAAAAGTATCACAAAACAGCACTTGTGGCATATCAATTTAAAGCTTGAAAACTACCAAAAATAACCATATAAATGCATCATCAATATGTTTCATACAAAATGAATTACTGTTAATTGTAGCAAACAATAACTGTCACATACTTCAATAGTTATGAAACATAAAATTTTTGATACAACAATTCATGACTGAAAAGTATCACAAAACAGCACTTGTGGCACATCAATTTAAAGCTTGAAACCTACCAAAAATAACTATATAAATGCACCATCAATATGTTTCATACAAACTGAATTATTGTTAATTGTAACAAACAATTACTGTCACATACCACTTGGACAACTTCAAAATATAAATCCTCTTATAAAGTTCATGACTGAAAAGTGTCACAAAAAAGCACTTGTGGCACGTCCATTTAAAGCTAAAAATCTATAAAAACCATAGAAGAAAAATGTCATAAATACTTTCAGTACAAAATGGCTGATAAACAGCTATGCAGTTAATGATGCAAAGAAATAATCAGTGGTTATTGATGTATTCCAGTATGGACCTATATTAAATTTAATTTTTTACTCTTTTATTAACAATAACTTTGTGTCATAGTTTCTACCATATTTATGATAGAAATGTCATGAGTGATATGTGACAGTGCCAATAGTGCTAATTCCATCAGTCTATACTTGCGTTTCGAAATCATCCTGTAACAACGTAACAGAAGTCCATTGTTACTGGCAAGCAGCCATTTTGTATTAGAAATATTAATGAAACTTGAAACCAGCTTCATTAATCCTATGCACTTCTTAATTTCTTCTATCAACCAACTTCTTCCTTTACAAAATAGATGAAGAAAGAGGTTCCTCATAAAATATATTGCAACAATGAATATGTAACAAATACATTCATCTTTTATTATAAATAGTAAATAAATAATAATATAGATAATTATAAGATTCAAAAGAAGTATGATGTCGAGCCACGTTAGACATAGGATTAAACACTAGCAAAGGATCAAACACTAAGTTTCACAACATACGTGTAAACCTGCCATACGTGTCATTTCGTTCACCCCTTAGCCTACAAGGTTTTCAACAGGTGCGTCAGTCAGAGCTGCCTAATTATTACTGTAGTATTACAATAAATAAAAAATATTGAAACGTAAGGCATACTTTGCATTTAGAAATCTTTAATTATACAAACTGCAATTAGTTTCATACTGAAACCTCAATTTTTATGCAAATACGATTCAGTTTTGTTACATATGAACTATAACGTGCGTCACTAGTCTGATTCGATGTTGTAGGCCAAGATTAACACTAAAACTACCAAACCGCTCCACAAATTTTGTTATTATAAGGTGCACATTTTGTTAAAGTACATTCGTTAAAGTCAACATTGAGTTTCATCAAGATAAAGAATAAATGTGTGTACTAATTTATGTTTCGTCGTTTGTTGCTTTATTTTTTAACTTCATATTTAATTTCAAATTAAGTACACATTATATGTCGGTTTAGTGTTAAACTCTAAGTAGAATCATAAATTTTCTATCTTTCAAACTCTATCAACAATTTAAGTTTCTTAAAAATCAACCGAAATATATGAAAGTTTAATTTAAATTTTTTGGAAACAGAAAGAACATATCCCTACAACCGAGATTTAACTAGAACGCATTAATTAAATTTATCTGAAGATCATCTTTCTGGAAGAATGACGAGGATATCTAGGTTAAGAGAATAATCCAATTTTCAAATCCGTTTTGTTTAAACATTTATCGTAAATTCGAAATATCTCGAGGCACGTAACGCGTTAAAATCATGTAGAGAGATGATCGCGAAGACTAACAAGCTTCACAGATTTTCACGGTAGATGAATCTAGCGTGTACGGTAAATTTCTGACCGGAAAAGAATCTCTGTGCAGGTTGGAAAAGAATATCGCGAGGAATTGCGAACAAACGAGCAGCGGGACTCTTTTATAAAGCGCAGTGAACATTGCAGGATAGTCCTGGGTCAAAAGTAACAATGGACGAAAGCAACAAGTTAAATGCTTTATGTTTAGGGAGGTTGGAACTTCCTGAATAGGATATGTCAAGTGCATCATTGACGTAAGCAGGATAAGGTTTATGCTTGTATATAGATATTTTATGGTAGAAATTTAGATGTTTTTAATGATATAAATATAGTAATTAGGATATTCTTCGAATTTCTGTGTTTATTACAAATTTAGTAATTAGGATATTATTCAAAATTCTGAGTAAAAAAACTTCGTTTTAAAATTTGAAATTTTTACATTTCTGAATATTTAAGATATTTTTGAATTTATGAATTTTTTAAATTTAATAATTTTGAAGCTTTAAATTTAGAATTTTCAAATTTGAAAATTAATAACTACCGAATTTTCAAAATAAGTTTGCATCTTTGCAAATTTGCATCTCAATCCCAAACTCTCAATACTCAAATTTTCAATACTCAAGTTCTCAATACTCAAGTTCTCAATTCATAAATTCACAAATTGCCAAATTCCTAAATTTCAAAATTCCTACATTCCAAAATTCAGAATTCTTAAATCTGCTACACTTCTAAGTTCCTAAATTCCCATATTTCTAAATTCCAAAGTTCCAAAATCCCTATATTCTTAAATCCTCAAATCCCTAAATTCCAGGACCTCTATATTCCAAAATCCCTAAATTCCAATATCTCTATATTCCCAAACCCTTAAATTTCAAAATTCCAAAATTCCTATATCTCTAAATTCTAAAATTCCTAAATCCCCAAATTCCTAGATCTCTAAATTCCAAATCCCAAAATCCCTAAATTCCTAAATTCCAAGATCCCAAAATCCCAAAATCCTAATATCTCTATATCCCCATATCCCTATATTTCTAAATCCTTAAATTTCTATATCCCTAAATCTTTCAATTCCAAAATTCAAAAATCCCTAAATCCCAAAATCCTCAAATCTCAAATTCCTCAAATC